GAGACAGTATCTCTCTAAGTTGTGAGGCTGGCCTTGGACTTATGCTTCCTGCTTCAGCCTCCCCAGTTGCTGGGATTACAGCAGTGAATCACCATGTCTGGCTATATAATCATTTTCTTTCTTTTTTTAATTTTTTTTTAGTTGTAGATGGACACAATACCTTTATTTTATTTATTTATTTTTAAGTGGTGCTGAGGATTGAACCCAGGGCCTCACATGTGCTAGGTAAGTGCTCTACCACTGAGCTCTAACCCCAGCCCTATAATCATTTTCTTAAAAGGTATTTTAAAGTGAATTTGACTTAAGAAATTAGGGTTAAGATTATTTTTTATAAACCAATCTGTAATTTCAAAGAACATGATTCTTTATTTCAGAATAAATGTCTTTATTTCAAATGGTATGGTAATTCTATTTATCTCATAATTTCATGAAATTAGAGCATGGATTATAGGACACAAACCCATCTCAGCATTTTCAAGTCTGTTTTGGTCAAGAAAACATTTAAAGTGGATTACAAAGATACATAAGGTGTAACAAAATGGAAATAAATGAAAAACAGGCATTACATGTAAGAAAGYTCAAGGCTAGTAATAAGTTTAGAATTCAAAATGCATTCATGAAAATCAAGATGAATGAAAATTCAACCTTAAATTCTCTAGCAGYCAATGCAGAGGGAAATGCTAATGGTGGATGATTTACCCCAGGGTCCACGAGACAAAAGTTCAGAGCAGTTTCTCAGAAGAACCAAGACCAGGGCAAGCGCTTCTCTTTGGGAGTTTCAGAGAGATGGCTAAATGTGGATGTAAGAAAAACCTTCTAGAAAGTTTTGAAAAGAACTTTCATAGGCCAATGATTAACATCAAGGTGAAATTAGGTGAGTGTTCTGAGCAGTGCCGCTGTGACAGGGCCCAGGAAAATTAACCACTTTTTAAAATCTGATGCATGCCAAAGACATTTTGGTTTGTCACATCTTTGAGACAGCCATTTACAGTATGTCTCTCAATGAGGTTCTAGATAATTATTGAACAGGAATAGTTAAAATTGTTTTCTCAGGSCTTTGAAGTCTATATATTCTGTTTTACTCATTAAACAGCTGTAAAATTTAATAATCAGCCAATTACAAAAAGAAAATATGTTTACAATAGCAACAAAGGTTAGGAAATGCCTAGGAATAAATTTAGCAAGACAAATTACAAAATTTTAATGAGATCTGAATAAAAAGACATAGCATATTCTTGGATGGGAAACTCAGCAGTACAAAGATATCATTACTCCCCATATTTGTGAGAGGGGTGGACTGGGGTCCTGGGAATTGAACCTCAGGCATGCTAGGCAAGTGATTGATCGCTGAGCTACACTCCCAGCCCTTTTTATGTTATTTTGAGACAGAGACTCACTGAGTTGCCCAGGCCAGCCCCCAATTTGTAATTATCCTGCTTCTACCTCTCAAGTAGTAGATAGTCAGGTATCACCATGATAGTTACCATACTAATATACATAATTAGTAAAATTTCCCCTAGAATCCCAATACATTTTTTTCTGAACTTGATAGCAAAAATTAATCTAGAATAAATGTGTATGAATACCAAGAGTATTAATAAAACAATGTAGAGGAATAAGCTATACCACATATCAGAATATATATTAAAAGGAATTACAAAAATTAGTATGGTACAGACATCAAAATAGAAAAATTAAGATTCCAGACATAAATCTATATATGCATAGCTCAAATTTAGTATTGATAAAAGTAGTTTTGTCCCAGTAGGAAAATTATATCTATTCAGTAAATTGTAATGGAAAAATTATAATCTTAGCAAGGGGATATACCCTTTCTATAAAGACAGRAAAACTTTAAAAGACTTTATATGACAAGTTTTGCTCTATAAAAGTTCTCRACAGCAAAATGCATTGCAAATAAATTTACAGCATATGTAACAGACAAAATGTTAATATTCTAAATAGGCAAAGATCTTCTATAAATCACTAAGAAAAAGACAACCCACTTGAAAATAGAAAAAGATGATCCTACACTTCTACAGTTGTAATAAGCAATCCCTGGACCTCACTGGCTTAAGTTAAAAATTGTTGATCACACTACACATCAAACAAATCAACAGAAAGGGCTCTGATTAGTAGGAGCCTGCTATAGTCTGGATATGACTGTCTCCCAGAGATTCATGTGCGGGAGGCCTGGTTCCGGTTGTGATGGTAATGGTAGAACCTTAAAGGTAGAACCTTTCAGAGATGAGGCCCTGGTGGGAGTTGATGGTCATGACCATCCTTGTGAAGGGAATAAGGCTAGTCTAGTGCACTGGTTTCTGTCTCACAGGAATGAATTAGCTCCTGGAGAGCAAGAGCAGTTTGTTATAAAAGAGCAAGCCTGGCCTCTCTCCACTCTCTTGCTTCTTCTCTCACCAAGTGGCTGCTCTGTCACTGTCATCAGTCTCTCTCTGGCTTTCATGCCATGTGATACCATTGTCAGTGTTGTGACACTACTAGGTGACCCATTCCAGATGCAAACACCAGGCTGTTTAGACTTTTCAGCTACCAGAATCWTGAACCAAATAAATTTCTTTTCTTTAAATATTACTCAGCATCAGTCCATTTTATAGCCGCATTATCTGGAATATACAATCTTCTCAGTCMCTATAGTAGGAGGGGAAAGTTCTAAGGATCTCCTTCAGGAATTATGTACTTCAGGCAAGGAATGACATAACTTTGATCAAAACTAGATGAGACAATATGGGGATAATAGCTGGAACCACAGAGATCTGAATCAGAATAGACGGGCTTACAAAACCCCAAACCCTGGCAAGTGCTGTGATTGTGAGGTTTTTGAAATACTTTCTATTCAATAGCTTGTAGTTGTTATTCTGTCAGAATCAAACTAGAGTTTCACTTCTGGGGATCAAAACATTTCATTAAAATTCATATCTAACTTTAGAAATACCTATTAATTAAGTGGAGAAATCGGCAGTTAAATAGAATCTTTCCCACAAGCTTYGGTTCTCCGGATAGGTACTGTGTGTAATGAGGGTTCAAGGCTGTGCTTACAGCAAATGCACATCAAGGAATAAGAAAAAACACTGCCATCCATGAAAAAAAAAATGCTTTTCTAGAAGCTCAAAATAATATGTGAAATCCAATGGACAGTGTCCTTTTCTTTTAATTGAGATGGAATTGTTACAAATAGTCATGTGTTTCTGAAGAAGGTAGCACCACAAAATTCCTCTGTCAAAGACAGCCATCTGGAGATGAGAGGTAGAGGACATCAGGAAACTGCATTTCAGAACCTTTCAGAGAAAGGATCTAATCCACATAATGCTTGTTTTTAAACTCKAAATTTGAACTCTGACTGAAGGCTATATGGAAACTATCACTGTCCTTGATATATTCTTTGAGCATTATAATAGTGTCAAATCACTTGTTTCAGGGCTTAGTATTTACAAGTACTATTCTTTATTTAAAATCACTTGAGAATTTTACAGCTCACTAGCAAACGTTTTGTTTAGACGTTTA